GTCAGCGTTTTCGGGTTACGTTATTGACAAGTTAGTGCTAGCTAAGAGTAACAGTAATAGTGATAATAACAGACTCAGCTTTCTGAGATAAAAAAAGGACGGTTAGTCTTGTTGCATGCAATTATACTCCCCCATGAGTTCAAACAACACATCAAGACGGCACAAACGGTAGTTGCAGTTCTTTAACATCAGATTGAGATTAACGGTAAATAGAAAACAGAATTTCGTATAGAATCTCTACAAAAGTGAGAGGGCATTCATTTAGATAGGGGCTTGTTGGACAACGGTGATAAGTTAGAAAGGTCTGCGATAGGTCAAAGGTTCAGAGCACACTTGAACAAAAGAAATAGAACTAGTTTTGTCAAACCTCTCCGTTTATTTCGCTTGGCTGTGACCCATTGGCAGACAACTTTTGGCCACACGTCATGGTTGTTGGAAGTTAAATTGATCAACGACTTGTTATAAAGTTCACCGTGGCCGTGTGCGTGCAAAACAAACACGAGGTAATGCTCAACCTATGTTCTTCCATATATCCAAAAAAACCACAGTTACTCATCCGCCTTAAAAATCAAACTGTTAATAATGTCGCTTGCAAGTGCGTGCACTGTAAGGACTACTTCAATTTCTGATCTGTAACTCTGTAACGAAAATGTCACTCAAGACTTTATCACACGTTCTGCGCGCAGCAGTGCTATCCATATATTTACAAACAGTTTGGGGAACAACGATGGAGGTTCCTGTGCACATCAAAATAGGGTCCAATGTTACGCATTAAGAAAACCCGGAATGATAACAATAGCATTTCGAAGAAAATAATTTTCATAGTATCAAACAAAGAACTAATGTGATAAATAGCACACCTAATGGTATTTCTTGTGATATTCATTCATCTTACAGGTCGGGTCAAAAATATGCTCACTGCCAATTCATTGGTTGGCCGACAAAAGTTCCAAATTCAGCCGGTCATGTGCGTACCAACCTGGCCAAGGCAAAAGTGGATACGACCCGCATCCTGTGTTCAACCCAAATGCAAAGAGCAAGTCGAACCGGGCTGTCGGGCCACAAATCTCAGCATCTTAAGCTTACTCGGTATGCGGCCAAGATTGCAAATCAGCCGATACATAGATGTATACAGGTTACGGTGTGAGGCAGATGAGTTGTAACGCCGGCTTATTGTAGTTAATGCCATTGTACCATCAATATCATTCTCAGACGGTTTATGAATAAGCAGCCAAACACGCTGAGTCTATAAATCTATAAATCTATAAATCATAGCATAAATCATCCCCGAATAAAATTCTCTGAAGCGAAGTCTCCCCAGGATGTGATGGCTGAGGATAACATGTCACGGTGTGGTGTCCTCGAGCATAAAGTTTTCTCAGGACTTGCTTGCTCACTCTAGTTTTTGTGAGGAAGACGTACAACAATATTTGTTATTCAGCAGCCGCTCCAATACCATGGCCCATTTCGTTCAGGTTGTACGGATGTAACAGTTTATCTACTGTGTGTTAGTGAGTAGCTACTCACAAAAATACAATAGACTTTCGAAATACAGTCATATGGTTGCCGTGCTGAAATTCATTAAATCGCTAAAAGATCTCCCTGACTGATGGAATATTGGAACCTAAACAGACTGAGGCATGACTGTTACACTGGAATGCACAAGTTGTCCAACGACGTTTCTGGATATACTCAACCAGTGCTACCTCAACTCCGACGAATTAGTTGCCTGGCTCCAAGTGCGGTGCCAAAAGCCACTTGTTTTATTTTGCGGTAGATGGGATAACAATGGCGCTGTGGAATCCATCCATTCCGAGCAGCTGAATATTGATGAATGTTCGCAATATTCCCAACAAGGTGCAGTAGTTCGATGTAATAAATAGCACCACGAAGGTTCGCCCTATGAAGTAGTGGCAATAGTAGCTATGCGGATATCATATTCCAATGGCACAGCGCAGCTGCAGACTACGAGCATGAGTAATTGCTCCAGAATAGAAAACGAATTTGTTCCTGTTAGTCTCAAAGTAATCAGGATAAGTCGCTTCAGTAGGCACGATTTAGGCGTTTTCTAACCTACACGACATTGCAGAAACACTTGGCAGAGCAATATGTAAAAAACCCAAAACACTGGCCAATTCGGCTCGATATGGCATCCGTTTCCATATTACATAGCTTTCATGTACCCAGGATATATAATTTCACATACCGTTTGTGCGCACAGATCGGCGTGTACGAATAGCTGAGGACAGAGATGGGAGGTATGACATATTTGGGGAACCCGATTTCAATCATCATATCCAGGTGGTGGCCCATAATTTTCAAAACATGCGGATGCAAGCAAACAGTCGAAACTCGCAGTATATGAGGGTGGCAGTATGGTGAACCGTCCTACCCATAAGATGTTTCTGCGGATATGACAAGAGAACGCCAGTTAACAATAAAAGTGGCAACTATACTAATGTACCCACACTCAAGAGCTACAGACAAATTATGGCACGCCGGCGCGCTTGCGCGTGATTTCTCGTGTGTTTTACAGTGGACAGAAGAAACTTACGCCACCTACCCGTTTCCGGTGACTACTCTTTTAATAATATTACTATTTGACAGCTTTTTCGGATACATCTGCCTCCTCGTGGAAGAATATTTAAAAAGTCAATCTCGGGTGAATTTCACCCCAACAGTGCGCTAGTGTGTCCCCGGAGATATCCAGATAGAACACACATTTACGACCACATCCTGATGCCATAATGCTGTGATAAATTGGTGCCAGAATGAATTTAGGACTGTTCCACTATGTTGATCTATAGAGGCTACAGGAAGCAACGGTTCCAATGAATTTATAGTGACCTTGAGGTGAAAAATAGGCCCGTCCCACAGCAACAAATCAATTTCAGTCAGATTGTTCAGTTGGCCTCACATCGTCCGAAATTGTCTGTTCGTGCGCCCATATGTCGTTGTCCAACTAAACAATTAGTCTCCCTATCTCTTGCGTGTCGACCATGCCCGGGATAGGAGATGTAGATTGTGATTAAGTTCAGGTTTGCCGGAATTCGGGTGTTTGCAGGAATCCATCTTTTTGATGATAGCATATGAAACAAATACCAAAAGTACGCTACCGGAGGGTAGTCCTGCACACAAGCACCAAAGTACTAACGTACGTCAGCGTTGGGAATCGCTACACTCCCCCGTTAGAAAGACCACTTTAGGACCAGGTTATGAAGCCACCTAAGGTCCGAAAATATTCCCTCACCCCATCAAAATTGTTGTCAATCTAACCCCCTATTTGCAAGTGGTGTGCTAAATAAATTGTTAGTGACTGCACCAATTTCAGTGGACAAAAGCACTATTGACCAGCATCAAGATTATCAAAAATACTCGTAGAAATACTCATAAAAAACGAAGAATCCTAAGAGTTTCAATTTTTCTGTTATGCTTGCTATGATTACGCACAAGTGTTGAAATAATGGGTGCTGCTTGCGTTTCTAACTTTGAAAAATGTTTTCAGGTTAGAACGTGCACCCTTGACCCCAAAAAATGGCTGATCGACTTGAATAGATAAGTTAATGATGGTAAGGCACATGATCAAAAGTGCATCTGCTAATCCGAATCTTTGATCTCTTCGAGTCTACGTCCCTAAGGTGGTGGCATTCCAAACGTTTCTTCAAGTCAGTTTCGCTTTTTCTTAAGTCGGCCATGGAAATCGTCAGCACCTTTATTTCTTGGCACGTTTTTGGTTCATATGACCACCTACTGGACTGTTAAATGCGTTCAGTTCAGTTTAGTTCCCACTAACTTTAATTTAAAGGACTCCGTAAAAAGGAAGATCAGACTGGAGAGAGGATTGAGTGTTTAGATGGGTCTGTAGGCAATAGGCAACAATATTTAGGGGAAGAAATACAGACTTTTGATTCCTTGGTTCTGAGCCACGCTGCTAGCCTCCATATAAATGCTTCTCTTCTTCAGGGGTTTGTTCGTAGCTATCAGTAGAAGAAAGGACGTCTTCTCTGTGGAGAGAAACACCAGCTAAATGGTTACAGACTATTGGTCAGCAAAGCATACCTCTCATATGCATCTTGTTTACAAAACTAAATATCCATCTTCTACTTAAACGCATTTTTCCGAAATTTCCCGCATATTCATTGACTGTTACTCAATTGCAAGCAAATGCTACGAGGTGACTCCACGTATTCCGTAAGAGATCTCACTTTTCAAGAGACGCAAAGCTGATTTGCGAGAAAACATACTACTCGCATGCCTCATCAGTAGTATCCACCGTTACATCAGACTCAGCTTGAGTGATAAACTCGAATATTTAGGAAAATTTTCATAAATACCCAATAAAATTCTTCAAAATGAGATAGCTGCGTAATTTTTCCATGTGTTTGCCTAAAAACACCAGTGAAAGATTATTACACCTGGATCTAACGGGTTACCTCAAACCGTCAGTAAAATTCAGTTATAAGCACCCACTGCCATGTTGACAACAACCTGTTTTGTATCGCAAAATTGGACAGTTGCAAACAAATAAAGAAAGAAGTTTTCTTATGCAGGAGAAATAAGGTTGGTTGAACGTCTTTTCCTCAATATATCAAGTATAATCTAAACATTCATAACTCTGGGCGTAACAAAAATGGAATCTACCGCCTGGAACAAAATTCGCAATACCTAAAGCCGTTGGTTTACTTTTTCCGATCCAAAAATGGAACCTTTCAAGTCAAAATGAGCTGATAAATCAACGGAGACCATATTATCATTCGGCATCTTATCCTAAAATGACGCAATCTCATGATCAGTTGAATAAACGATTATGTGTGTAGTCCTTTTGTTTGACATCAGTTCTTATCGTGTTATCAGTTTCCGCCAGTGGTTTGTTTGCCAAGCGACGGTGGCACGTCAGGAGTTTCCAAAAATGACAACGGACGGCAATAGTAAGATGCTAGATCAATCTGTATATATAAACCAAGTCAGACATAGGGCCAAATATAAGTTTGACAAGGACACTGATCTGGAGCAGATAGTCCAGCGCCATGTCTGGTCGAAGAGTTCAGGAGCTCTTCATAATGATATGTGTCCTTTTCACCACATCAGAGTCACGCCAAATCGGGGTGAGTCTGTTTATTACCCTAACCGATGCTTTTTCTTTTCTAGTCTTCTGATTACCCCTAGTCCACTTGCTGTTCTTGGTTGAATATATTGACCTTGGCGATGAATATAAGCACCACGTTTGGCATTTTAGAGGACCGTCTTCTCGAAGCCAACACCAGATTTAAACCTGGATGGCTCATTCTCCTAGCTAAACAGTCATATAGTTTACTTCTTAGCTCAAAATATTTCCGTGGAACGAAAGGAATACACATGTCTCATGTTTCTAGTGTTGATTCAGTAATGTTAGACAACAGGTTCAAAATAGGCAGTTGTTTTGGTCGATTACTGGCCCATACAAATTCCCTGAATTTTCATTAAAGGTAGGAACATCATCCGTTATTTTTTCTCCAATGCATAACGCCCTTCGTCATCAAGTGCACAGTTGTAGGCCAGAATCAAAGTTCTTATCGTTGCCTTGTGTAGCTACTTTACACCTGATCGAAACAGAATTTTCTCCGTTTAAATTTGGTGTGTTTTCCTGGGACTTAAATACCGTTAGGAATTTTGCTGGTGAAGTGGTTGTACGCGGGGACAGCTGTGCAGAATCAGGCGGGCAGTCTGCTAAAAGTTGAAGTTCAGTCGTCTATGCTATCACAAATAAGACTTGGAAAGAATGAAATGAAACTGATCAATTTATGACTTCATCGCAGTAATCAATATTACCACAATCAGCATCCATCCTACGACACCGGCACTTCCCCTGCACAGTAGCATGCAACCATATCCACCGAAAGCTGTCCAGGTTAAGACTAAATAATCCGTACCAGTTTATTGAATAAGTACATTTACCTTTAAGGAATTTATACCAAATCACCCATTATTCCTCCTCATTGCTTCACGACTGAAATCTCAAGGACTGTACAACTCCAACTTTATTCATGCAGATACCTACACAGGCAGATAAACCCAAATATTTACCACCGTTAAGGCGCTTGTCACCAGTCATTCATGAATGGATTTTTCGATTTCGCACGCTTATCCATGATAGGACTAGAAATTCGCCATATCTGCAAGTATAAAGTCTTTATAAGCACATCTGTTCACCTTGAGTTCGCCCACTACCGCCGATCAGTGTGAGATTTTTTAATTTGCCAGATGTCCATTTCTGTAGCTGTCCCTAGGTCCAGCGGACCAACCTTCAGGTGCTCACATTTCACTTCCTTCGGAGTGCCGTTCGAGGCTATATTTCTCTGTTGGCCTGATAAACAGAAAGGCCTAATTAGTATCCTTGTGTTTCGTTTTATACCCTCTGTTGAGGTCAGTGTCACATTACGAGTTTGATACTGTTCCTCCATCTAAACAACCACAAAATTTACTATTCTACCGAGAGTCAGTGTGATCCGCTTTGGCTGCGATGGACTTCAGCAATAAGCACGATCTTAAGGTATTATGGAGTAGTGTGCATCATTTGGTGGAAAATATCAATTACTTTTGATGTACTTTTAAACTGAGCCTATGAATTAAGTTGCACTGTCACCCAGAAGTAGATCATACCCGACAAAGTGTGGCAACAACTGGAGATTCTTTGACACGGAACAAGCCGCATCAATCCATAAATTAATAAATCTAACAAGATTTAGCCTGTTGCTGTGAGGGCTTTTTTTCATCTCCGGTAGACTGTCAGTAGTGGTGAAATGCACCTGTCATCCATCGTACACTCGGTGCCTAAGAGAGCTGTATTTGTGTACTAATCCGCCACAGCGTCTGCGTCTGACAGTATCCGACAAAGGCGTTAACAAATCCTAACATTTACCTGGGGTGTGTCTGATAGTTTACTGAAAACCTACCACTCACCAGTACAACTTTACAGGATAATAAGCATACCTTTCGAACAGACTGTAACGACGAAAATTGTGTTCATGCTGGGACCATGTTTCTATTCTGTTTTGTCATCGTTTCTCAAAAGTCGGTCTGTGCACAATGCAGTAAGCATAGGATGCAGGAATAATCTTACTTCGCAAGCCACATGCAGCAAAACCAAGCCTTTGTTCACTAAATCGTGACGATGGAGACTATGCTATAACCTTGCTTGCTTTTGAAATGGCTGTCATCTACACTGTAGTCATTGTAGCCACCACGCCTGCTTATATTATCGCTACATTTAAAAGCGTTTTCACGATGATAATTTCATGTTTGGTCACTGGGATGAAGCGGGATTCTCGCAACAACTTGGCGATAGATGTTGACGCCATAAAAAAACTAGAGGCACTTTGGTGGGACGTACAAGTGGTCAGGCCCTCATTTAGCCTTATTTAGCCCGTGTCATCAAAATGTTCATAGAATTCTTCAAAGGTGAATCGGTCACCCACTGAATGGTTTTTAAAGAACTCACGTATCGATCGATTTTGGCTGCTATCGAACTTAGGTAACTGTAACATGTTTAAACATTTTCAACTTTTTATGGTAAACAGCTAACAATCCCAACATATTATTTTGACATTTTGAGTAGGGTTCTTGAACGTTTTGGTGACCAGAATTGACCGCAGTTAATTGGTATACGGATGGGTTTATGTTAGTGATCTTGCGCGTTTCCGCGAAGAGTAAACGGAGCTTGAACTCGTGTGAACAAGATGCATGGGTCGTGGTGCCACAATGGTAAAGAGGAACAGAGGTGGCGTTAATGTTGGGTGTTGGTGTGATTGAAGGTGAGGGAATGTCTTGTACTGGAGTAACTGACATGGTATGAAGGTCACGTTGGATGAGAGTGCAAGTGGGACAGGAATTGTCACGTGGTTTGGGTGTTTGTGACGCGTGATCTAGTGAGTGACCTCTAGACCTACAGATCGCACCGACTGAGAGTTCTATTTTGCTTCGGTTTCGTATGCACTTCAGAAAAATCTCACACAGTAATTCTGTCCTTAGTTATGCAATTCTAAAGACGTCACACTTTACACGCAGCCTCAGTCAAAAAATGACAGCACCCAAGTCCTTCTGAATAGTTGAGGCATCCATTTATTTCGGTAAATTCATGACAGTAAAACGTTCAAATCAGCTCACTCTCCTATAGCTTGTCAAAATTAGCAGAAATTTACCTTGATTTTCCACCCTATTTGAACTGACCATTTATTGAGGAAAATGCCGGCTTTTTGTGAAACAAGTGGTAGGTATACATCTTTGACCAAGTGATGACAGATGACATTAATTAGTCAGAGACCAATATTGTCTACAGTATGCTTGATCGCCTGACAGTAAGCACTCATGAATGCGCCAGATTAAGTTAACATTGTGCGACAGTCTAGTACCTAGTAGCCATTGGCCAAGAGTTACGTCCGGTAGAAAACATGGAGATTACCCGGTAAACCTGTGAAATTTGTTTCTCATTTTTCAGCTTGTTCCTGTCGCTTTAGAACACCAGGGATTCCGGGACTATCCATTATGGCTATGGTTTGCTCACGGCGAGGCTCCGAAGCCACTTTTTCCCAACATGGCCATATCAAAGACTCCAGCTGAAGCTCAAAAAGGCGATCCTCAGATGGAACTCACAATCTCCAAGAAGCGCTAATATTTCGATTCAGTCCTTTTCTAAAACCATCATACCGAAATAACATCTGCAATCTTGCTGGTGCCTTTTTCGCTGTACATCCTTTCACGATGAAATCAAGGCATACAACCCTGGTGTGGGCTTTTGTAAATGACGTAGTTTCCAGTTAATTTTCAAGTTAACTTTGGCAAACTTTTCCGTACTCGATAAAATAAAACAATTTCAGAGCGATTATTGACGCGACCGGTGCAAGACAATGCAGAACATAATGTTAGCCGACGCGTCTGTGGATATCTAATGCATCCAAACGCAATGAACTTCTGAAGGATCCATCCGTAAACAGTAGGCTCCCGGACCCAGTGTTTTCTCTGGTTGATTAAGACGAATTCGGGTAAGGGTTCATATGGGTTAGCTTTCCATATTTCCCCCAAATTCCACTAGGTAGTACACGTCTTCACCTATATTATAAGGCGAAGTAGCATGTCCTATCAGATACGTAGACGACCACCATAATGTACCATTCTTGGTAGCAACCACTTTGAACTGGTCCTATTTATGGTTAGCCTGTAGGTACTTTCGGAGGGTGGACACTGCATCGAACCGATACACATGTAGTAAGACAAAGTGGATTGGCATATGCACAGTGTGTGGGTGAATATAATGATAGCTCTGTAGCTCATAAGCCTTTTCGCTGGCGAGGACAGTTCTGTTTGAGCCAAAACTGAGTTACCTCAATCCTAACGTTGCCACTGATCCGTTCACTGTGGAGAGCTATGACAGAACTCACGGGTCTATAACATCTCCCCTATATAGCGAAAAAGAGGGGGTCCAAGAGTCAAAGTCATGAACACTTCACAGTTTGCTTCCCACGGTATTCTCATTATTTGCCAGAAGAAGTTTTGGCTGGTGATGGTAGTTGGTGAAAAGATAATTCAAATAGTCTCAATAGCAACTGAGTCAGATGAGAAGTCTTACAATATAGTACCAACGAAAGTAACTTGGCTATATTGACGACAGTTAGGAAAGCACTAAACGATATTAGGTTTTCTTCGATGCAGCAAAGCGTCAGCAGCAAAATCGGTGAACAACAGCGACCAATGCACAAAAATATGTTGGACAAGGATGAGCATAAATGAAGTTTCCCTGGGATTTGATACTCAAGCTCGATACACAAGCTGGACTTCATCCTAATATGAACTTTCCACGTCGGTGGGACGACCAAATTCTTGACAGAAACATCACTAAAAGATTTCTGTCTGTAATATTCTATGCATAATGAAGCATACTGTACCAGGTAAAGATGCCAAGAGTAAATGGTTTGGCCAATAAATCGATACTAACGGTAGCACTGTAACACCCAGAGTTAAACCACGATTCTTTGGTTTAATTCAACTATTTTGATTGATTTAAACCGCGATTGTTCTAGTAAGATAAAACAGGCCATATCATTAGTTTGTGAAAAACTAAAAAACAGGCTTGAGCTTTTGGTCTTACCCTGGAGTCGAATGTGAGTGGGGAAGTCGGTGATAAGAAGCAAACCCCAATTATCGTTTCAGAGGGGTTTGGTAAACAATCGGTGGACTTATTGCTGAACGATGTTTCGCTTTTGGTACAAAAGCTTCGTTATGCCAAGTGATTAAGTAAGTAGGTTGATTGGGTTTTAAGGCAGTCGGGGAACCAATCCGTGAGATTCCTTATGACTAGTGATGTGATCAGTGCTGGGTGTTCAGTCTGATGTTCCTGCTTGTTGATTAGTGGGGATGATTAAGATTTACGATAGACTGGTTAGGGGGAATTTTCCATCAAGGTGTCCTAGACTGAAGAAGCAAGGACGAAAAAATCCGGGTTCCTCATCAAGACGAACCTTCCCTAACCAATCTATCGTAAATCTTAGTCATCCCCACTAATCAACAAGCAGGAACATCAGACTGAACACCCAGCACTGATCACATCACTAGTCATAAGGAATCTCACGGATTGGTTCCCCGACTGCCTTAAAACCCAATCAACCTACTTACTTAATCACTTGGCATAACGAAGCTTTTGTACCAAAAGATTTTTCAATTGATTCAAACCCCAATTAATTTTTAAGGACTGTTAAAAAATATTAAGAAAAATTGTGGCTACTGAGACTCACATAGCTTGCTGCCCAACTGTCCACTAAAAAGAACCAACTGGAGAGCTGGATAGTTTGCCCGGCTAACTGCGCAGATGCACGAGATCCCACTCACCAAAGTGTGAGCAACCAATGACTCTAAGTGAAGCTTGTCGTGCACGAGGAAATAGTATAACAGAATAAAGTCCATGTAGTGTTCTCATTATGTTGCGTAGACCGAAAGGAATCTTTCGAAGAGTCTTGTAACACAAAGTTTTACCAACGGAACTAATGCGTGTGCTTCGTAGAATGTTTGGTCATTTTGGTAGCCTAAAAATCGGATGCATGGGAAACCATAAACGGTGTACGCAGTTAGCTGGCGGACCACAAAGGTGTGTGGCGGCAACTTTAGACCAAAAGTACACTTGGTTGGTTCTGTACCTTGCTGGGTTATGCTCTGGTTGTACTGCTGGTGAAAAGTACTAGAAGTGTCCGCGGATGCCTGTCAGTCAGAAGAAGAGCAAATGGTATAAAGCTCCCGCCTCCCTCTTGATGGTATGATGTATTCAATTTCCGTTCCAGTAAGATCAGCTGAGTTATCTTCCAATTAAACTCACTAAATTGAAGATATGGCAGTTCAGCAGTCTTAGCACAATAAAGAAGCTTTACCGCGAACCCAGTTAATAGTTATGGTGACAGAGTTTACGAATGCGACTTCTGAAGTTAGACTTCTGGGTCAGTCCGACATCACCAGTTTTTTAACTACAAGAAGCGCTCGCATAACTGCAGTGGAAAACACGGTATCCTGGTAGCTCGGTTTTATTACTTACTCCTGGATGACTACTGGATGACGGTAAACAGATACTCGAAAAACGTCATCTCAAATATCATTTTCTCAATGGGTATGGTATGCTATACTAACTATTCACAGTTGTATGCACGCATATGTCCCCTTAATGAACTCCGTGATCACAGGTTTATGAGGTACCCCAAGATTATTGACAAACAGTCTATGGAACCCAAGGGCGTGGACAGAAAACTGTCTGGGCTGCCTCCAATGCGCGACTGCTGTCCACTGACGATGATGAGTAATCAGGAATTTGATGTGAAACACAATACATCGGACAGAGTAGTCGATTTATGTTCCTTCAATGGTTGGGTTCAACCAGATGGTCTAACGTGGTAGGTTATAGGCAATCAAGCGGTCCATTGAGGAAGGGCATTAATTATGTTCATATTGGCGCCTTGATGCTCCCACACCATAGTATGTACTACGGGATAAAGTGATACTGTAGACACAACGCAAGTAATGTATGTCGGCGAGATGGCCGAAGTGGTTAGAGCGCAAATTTACTGACCGGAATGTCCGTGGTTTGAACCCGGCCTCTCGACTTCCCCTGTCTAGGCTTGGGCAGATCCCAGGCCTTGTGCAACCTTCCGTTGGCATGGCAGTTAGGCACCAAAAGCGCGCTACAGCTGAACGATAGTCTATCTTGTAATTTCTGCATCAAGGCATTTCCAGAGGTAAAACTGGTATGCAAACGGTTGTAGTGTGCCACACTGCTTTTATATGACAACGTAAAACTCAAAAAGCGTTTGCCATTATGCCACCTGCCTGAATGGTGGCATCAAAGAGTCCATCAAAATTTATTCTATTTAACAGGGTCTTCCGTGACGGTTTGTTGCTCTCCCTAGCAGATACCATATCAGACCACATCTACGTCTATTTTGACTGAAGCTTGCAAAATGGATGAGCCAGAGTTTTCAAGTTGCTTCCCAAAATTACTCTCCTTCAATCCAATTGGTCTAGTTTCAGCGATACCTAGGCAGCTAAGAATGGTCACACACAGTCGTACACAGTCTGTACACACAGTCAAAACATTCGCCGGTATAGCATCGACCTTGCAACACATTTCACTTTTAGCCTCACTGAAGTATTTGGTAGCCTTCTAATTATTCGAGGCAGTCCAGCGAATTCAATTACCGTTGCTTACTTCTAGCGGTAAAGTTCATCAGAGAATATATATATATACATATATATATATGAAGTTTTAAAGACAAGTCTTTTGATATTTCCGCCAGAAACTTGGAAGTCACACCCTTGAATGTGCACGTTTCATCGGAGTTATTGGAAATCTATTTTGGTGCATGGTTAGAAAGCTGCAAGTGAATTCGCTTGGGTGGTACATTTTACATCCTTCGTGTTTAATAACCCACATGCCCAATATCCCTGGTATGTCAATAAATCCTAGTTTGCCCTAGTGAGCTGAATTTGCATGAGTTTTATCCGAGAGTAAATCCATCTTTACTGACCCGCAGAAGACCCCACATTCCTAAAACTACAGTTCCAGTTGATATAGTTGATATACATATATATATATATATGTATAGTGGACGCGCCGGCGTCACGTTATACCGTTTAAAAACAGCTTTCAGTGTTGCACTAGCCCTTCCTTTCACGTGATGGAATTACCGAAATTCGATTGGAAATGCACGTGACCTCATTCATTTCTTCCATGTCCTAGTATTGGATCAGCCTACTAACAAAATGTCATTGTGTCAAAGGCGTTTCAGTACACAGAGTTTTGCAGTATTAAGTTGATGACTGGCGCGGTGGTTGTACTTGATTTGCTGGTTGTATAAGTCAACTTAAAATGTTTTACCCATAAGATAAAGATTTTTATTCATAGAACTTGTTCAAAATATACCTTCAGTTTAATCACATACAATTCTCGCTGCCAGAGAAACGAAGTAAATATTCTGATGGTGAAACTACTATGATGTCGTGTTGGTAGTATGAACATAGCAAAAAGCAGCGAAGTGATGGTCCCGGGAAAGGAGCTTACTCAAGTATCCCGTTTCTTGGACAAAACTGTCTACTACCTGATAAGACTTGCACATGTTTGCCGACTGAAACACCTAGTGGGGTATACTCATGAACGGTTGT